GGGGGGGGTCGGGGGGTCGGGGGGTCATGAAGCCCAAAAAAAAACCCTCTGGATCCGCCACTGTATCGGTAACTATTATGTTATTTAAATTTACCAGTAAGTGGGTTGGGATGATACCATCAAGTACTGTACTGGTTGTTTTATCTTCAACGCTTGTCAGTATTCAAAATTTAGCTTCACTTAGCATTCTAAGACCTACATAAATGAATGAATTGAACACAGTGACTAATTTATGAAAGAAAAAACATGACGAGAATGGAAAAGCCATAAATTTGGCACTGCGTTTAAATAAACGCATAAAAAACCGCTATATGGAAACAAATAACAATTCCATTGCTATATATTTAACAACCATTAAATAGCAATGTCAAATGGATATGCATTTTGCAGCCAAGTTGATTTATCAAGATTACACCAATGTTAGTCTAAGATTGACGTACGTTACACATCTCTTTTAACATTCATGACCGAACATGAATTATTCTTCCTAAATCAAGCACCACAAAAACGTGCGCATATTGATAATATTTACAGTATCATAATTGTTACACTGGTCGAGGTCATTCCGTTCATTCAATGCACCATTAAAATGCTAATTATTTAAACGATGACATACATGTTAACTCACCACTAGTGATTTACAGGTAAGTCGTAATGGATCTTGTCACACTTTGTGGCCACTAATACATGTACTTTTGTATCACCTTTGTTACAACCCAGACACAGGTTAATCATATATGAACTCTGAACCGGTAGAGACCCTGTTTAATCAATTGTATAAGCTTACATTTCCCCCCTAAATGATCCATTCATGAATGTGCTGTGTCTGCTTAATATTATAAAGTTCTCGAATTCACATTTATATCATATATTATGACAGTATTTCGCCATCGTTGTCCGTTACAGCATACACATATCTAAGCAGAGGCGATTCTCATTTAGCACATACTAAATACATAACTGTGCTGCGTTCGACAAGACTTCATGTTAGGTTTATATGTTTAATCCTATTGTTGGTGTCATTATTACATTGTTTGTTGTAGGAAATGAATGGGACTATGGAGGCGATATTGGTAAGTTGTCCTTGGAACGGTTTAACACTAGTAATAGTATTCTCCGTCCAGTAAATTAATATTGAGTCAACAGAGAAAAAAGTAACCTACTGAAGTAAAATCAATTTGAATAAAAAGCTGCTTTGAATGACATAAATATTTATTTAATTCTTGTTCAAAAGTTCAAAATTATTTATCGTTAATACAGTTTTCTTTCCAAAGAATATTTTAATATATTTCTTGAATATTACTTTTTAAAAGTGAAAACATATATTTTTTTATAAATAAGGCTTCCTTACTTAAAATTATTATCTGTTTTACAGGCCCAGATCACTGGTATAAGACATACCCACAGTGCGCCGGCGACAATCAGTCCCCGGTCAGTATCGACACGACACTGGTGGTTTATGATGAGGCGCTGAAAGGACTGCAGTTGGACGGATATAACAGTGTTTCCGCGGTCAACATGAGTCTCACAAATAACGGACATACAGGTAAATATACTCAGTATGTATAATAAACATACGAAATACTTGATGGCTACATGTGGAAAATGTCAAGAACCGTATAGCAGGATATTTGCGCGGTGATTATATGTATGCGATTTCGCAGATAAATAACGTCATTGCGGAAATATGATCCGCAGAAAAATATGACAAGCGTAAAAATAAGTCTTTATTATAAACTTAATAACAGTTATGTCGTTGTAATGATTCATTAACAACAAAGGGGACACGAGCTATTTGAAAAAGGGTAAATCACACATGTAATAGTTTTGTTGATTTGTTAAACAAAAAGCACTTTTTTTTGTTTTTGCTCAATAAAGCGTTTTATTTGAATGTTTCCCATTTTATATGCCGAGTATTCCGTCTCTGTGCTAAAATACTACAAAAATCGAATTCCTTCACATGCCTAGATTGCAAAATCATAATCCGTGTAAATTTAATGATATATTTTTGAGTCAAAGTCGCGAAAAGTTTAGCCCGTGTAAAAAAAACAATAGACATAGAAATGATCGCGTTTTATACATTATATTTTATGTTTTATTCACACTGGACCGTTACGAATGCATACTGGCGGGGATGCAAACTGTCATGGCTTAACAGTCTTATACAATAACCATTACTTGATTTTTGTTCTCAGTTCAAGTAGACCTTCAGGGCCAGTCACTCACCATCCAGGGTGGAGCACTTCCGGGGGTGTACAAGGCAGCACAGTTTCACTTCCACTGGGGAGCAGAAAATAAGCGGGGGTCTGAACACAATCTGGATGATCAGAACTTTCCAATGGAGGTAAATCCAAAAACATATGTTTGATAGGAAATAGCTTATACTATAAAAATTTCCCTTATAAACTAATTCTAAAGGTACAATCAATTTTGTGTGGATGTTATTTCCATCTTTAAGTTCTAAGAAACCAAAAAGTTTATAAGTATTACCAATAAAGGTGCTGGATAATTTCCAAGTTGTGTAACAAATGTCATGAAAATTGGACGAAAATGTATCCAGGAAAGTTTATTTAAAATAGCAAAATAGATCCCATGTGTAAATAGCATAACGTGAAAGGAAGCACGTCACTCTATTTATATGGAGAAAAGATAAGCTTATTAAACCAAAATGTTTTACTTAACTCCACCAATTATATCTTCAGATGCACATCGTGCATTACAAGGACGATTACGCCAATATAAAGGAAGCCATGGTGAATGACAAAGGACTTATGGTTCTCGGCTTCTTCTTCAAGGTAAGGATCACAGCAGCCTGATAGCTTCTCAAATCAACCTTTAGATTAAACATCATGGGAGTTGGCATGGAATGGTATTTAGAGAGTGTTTACACATACGGAATCATTATAGATTTTTTTTCCTTAATAGGGTCAAACGTTAAAGACAATATTCATCAGCTAACTTTATAGACGATTATTTATCAAGTATTCTATGATCATTAGTCGATGCTTATGTAACCATGATTTACAATTTCTACTACTTTGCCATGACGCTAATAAAGAGCTTTGATCTAATCAAATGTTATGTTTCATAAGCTTTAATTCGTAAATACATTAAGTTTCATAATCACATTTTATATCATGTGTTTACCTCTGCTGAATCAGTCTGGACATCACTTAATTCATTTTAGGTCGGACGACACAATCGCCATTTCGATGACATATTAGGCCACTTCAACGAAATAACCCATAAAGGTAGGTTTGTTGACATTACAATACAAACGAATGTCATTCAATAGTACAAAACTGTAACACAGTGACTCGTATACAATATAATGGAAAGTTTTGAAACATTATTTACAAATAAACAACATAGTCAAAGTTACGTGTTATTAGTATGCATTGTATATATTGTATGTAAGTCAAAGTGCGTGAATACTTTTCTCATCAAAGGTGCAATAATTCAAGTAAATCACTCTTTTACTCATCAGTGCTATCATTCTTAATTCATGACATGTTGTGTTTATTCAATTCACAAATCGCTTATTTGGTTTCATATGATCAAATACTCTTGTTTTACAATAGATTTAAAATGTTACGCTGCCCTTTTTCAGATGATCACGTTAATATTCCCACAATTCCTCTCCGGAAGTTAATGGCAAACAACCTTGACTTGTACTACCGGTATCGGGGCAGCCTCACGACACCACCTTGCTACGAGAGTGTCATTTGGACAGTTTTCAGGGAACCCATTGAAATATCACAGTTCCAGGTATGTATAACTGTTAATGCTACCTTATTGATAACATGCAATTATCAATTTTGAAATCTTGTTTAGCAAAGGACACACGAGTGCATGTTTTGTTAGCTAATAAAACATGGAAGTGCTACGTTCTACATTCCTAATCCTCTACTGAAATGTTAAGTTATTGAGTTGAATGTGACCGGCTTCAGGGTCATGCAACCTGTACAATGCACGAGGCATGAAGTGGCAACATGTTTAAACGTATAAAAGACGAAAATTCAATTTAAACAGTAAGATTTCCCATCATCGTTTATATTTGAAAGATAATCAACGTAGCCCATATCACCATGTTATACAAATAAGACTGTTCTGTTGCGGATGTAGATATTAGAGTGATGTCTCGCTTTCATTTGTACAACGAACCAATCTTAAGTTATGAACATAATCTATATCATTTGAGCCAATGTCGAAATTGTGCAAATTTAACTTAGATATATGTGGAAATATCAATATTTGTAAATTTAACTTAGATATATGTGGAATATCAAAAAACTGTAAATTTAACTTAGATAACTGTGAAATATCAATAATTGTAAATTCACGTGTGTTCCTCCGCTCGACAAAGCTTATTTGGAAAAACGTTATACGTGAACTGTTTGTTTGTAGATAATACATGCACATGCATGAATAATTATCCGAACATATTTGGTCATTTACAATGAAATACAGAGTAACATGAATAATTGGCCTAATAAAGTGTGGTTATTTACTAATGAATACTATAGTTACTATGCTGACGTAGTAGTATTATCAAGCACAATAACTGTTGATCCTTATTTAATTAGCCATATGTTTGATATTTTGTTCCAAATATAAGCCTACTTGTTTTATATCACACAATAGTATACGTACACTCGTAAACTAAGGGAAAGTAAACTTGTTGTTTTAATTAGCTATTAAGTTATATTTTGTAAATCCACGTGCATATATATATGCAGAGTTAGTTACTGTATGATAAAAGTGTACATATTGTTTCAACCATTCTCTTGTTTTAAAAAAGGTCGAGCAATTCCGTAATAAGGTGAAGAAAAACTACCCAGATGAGCCTGATCTTGACCTCACAGATGATTTCCGACCAGTGCAGCCTCTGAACCATCGAATAATATACGGCAGTCACATAGACACGTTGATGCCATATCGTTCCCATGGAGAGAATGGCGCAGGCCACGCACAACTTCCGTTCTATCTACTCCTACTGTCCGTCTGTATAAGTCTGTTTGTGTAGTGTTTATCTGTAGCATAAATAAGTGTACAATGGTTGATTTAGGACCAATGTCGTTTGATTACAAGTAGATATTTTAAAGGGTTTGTAAGCTACAATCTGTGATAAATATGAAAGATATGTAGGGCAATAACAATAATAGAAAAAGGCTGATTTTTTATATAAATATTTTTATTTTACCAGACGAGTTTCTCTTAAAAAAGACCTGCAATATCTCATTTATGACAAACATTAATTAGCAGTATATTATATTTTAAAAAAACATATTTTGTCATATATTTCACTTATCAGACGAAACCCAACGAGAGGCGTTGATAAAATTATTGTAAAAATAGGTATATTCTATGATCTTGACAAGTGGATTCCTATCGTAGTTTAACGTATCTCTCTGGTTAATCAATAACAAATCATATTATTATTGCTATCTACATATATAAACGGACAGTGTTCATCTTTATGCAAATCATACACACCATCGTGTCTAACAAAAAAGGTATTGAAATCCTAGTTTGGCTTTAGAAGTAGTATGCTTTAGTTAGGGAATATAATTAATTCATAGAAAATGGAAAAAAACAATTGTGGAATAATGCAAGTGCAATATCATGTATTAAATTCTGAAAAAAAAAACAATCTTCTCTAACAAATTTGAACTACATGCAACATTAGCTTATAGAACAAGGCTAGACTTTTTTAGGTGTTTTTTTTGTATTGCGCTTTGATCGTTTTCTAACAGTGTTTGTTCATATTTTGTTAGAGGGAATTTAGATGTAAGGTCAGTACTTACATCTAACTAAGTTATTATTTTCGATGTAGCCATTCACATCTGCTTATTTAGCAAGGTTGTTGCTAAGAGACAGAAATAGAATTGAAGGAAATGGTTCAATTTGTATAGTATATGACGCAGATACAGACATTTTTCCATTTTTTTAATCACAAAATCAGTTGATTTCGAAAACGTCTTGAATATATAACCCGTGGTATTAAATATCTAGACACGTGTTAAATCTTAATTACGGTAAATCTGCACGCATGTCCATGTTCAGATTACACGCATTGCCCTTGTGATATTATATATGTTCGTGCGTATTTGTTTTTATAGCTTTACTGTTAACTAGCATGCTTTGTCTCTCGTTCACATTTTACCAACACGTAAAGGAAATCCCCAATAGTAGCTTCACTGTCATGTCTCTATTGTAAAATGTGCATGCATTTCACGTGTTACCTGTTATGTGTCTTTTATATTGTATATATTCCAACAACTGGCAAATATAAGGGAAACCTTTGATGATCATTACGTATATTGACCTTTCATTTGCATCAAAACATCATTATGATCTATTCGAATGCGTATACTTAACACTACACGTGCGTTATGTATACGTGCGTTTTGATGTATTGGTGATTATGACGCCTATCGCTTTACGTACTTAACCGTCGTGCTTTTGTATTATTTAATAAACAAAAAGAGCACCGTGTTACAACGAATAAAAGGTTTTATATTTTAAATGTAAAATGAACTCAAATAAAATCCATTTTTGAAACATATCTTGCTTGTCTTTGAATTTTTGTTTGCACAAACTTTTGTATTTTAAAGCTAATTACAAGGCTGGAAACACAGATGTTCATAAAGGTAGACAGCATGATATTTAAGAAAATGATTTTATCAAATGTGTAAACCTTCTTGTACTTTAAGAAACTAAAATATTGCGACTGGAAAATGACATAACAAGTTTATGGTACAAACTGAAAACGTTCGCTAGCGAACGCAATACTACTGCCATCAGAAGAGGAACAGCTGTAGGTCACTTCGGAGTGTACTGATATCCAACGAAATGATTGTGCGTTACCAGCTGATAATTTTGCGTTTCCACTAAATAAGAAATAACAGATATTATTCCCTTAAAAACAACAGGTAGAAAAACAACGGTTCTCACTGACAGCTTAAAAACATTGTGTGTCTACAATTCAACCTCTCGTCCAGAAATCCCAAACGAGAGTCAAACGTTACTTCCACATTGTTTTTTTTTTTACTTTTAGGCACGATCATATTACTACCCACTTTCGTTTCATAGTATTATGGCCCGAAACGTTATTTGCTTGGTTTACATAGTTGGCATTGCAGCGCAAATGTAAATATACGTTCTTAACAACAGTGACAAAATGTTGTTGTATTCATATAAAAGACATTCTTAGTACACCTTAGCATCTTCTTAATTGCAAAAATACACTCAAATTTGTCCGAGTTCCATGACAGGTAATGTCTCTTTTGATCATTTGAATAGCAATTTCATCACTACTTTTGGATGATATTTAATTTTTCATATACAGTTTCAATCGTCCGTTTCTATTTTCTAACACTTTCTTTATCTCCGACCACTGTTATTTACTATTCCATAAGCTAAACCAAATAAAATGTTAAGCTTTTATGCTTCGCGTTATTATAAAAGAAATCAAAATAATTGTGAGAATCTATCAGCTTACAAGAAAGATCGATACAAAATTTCTACAAAAATATGAAAAATGGTTGTCATCAAGAAAATCATAAAAATGATATCGCTTTAGAAATCCTCAACATTCATAAGTGTTGTTATCTCTTGATCCAATAACAATAGCCTCATTGGTAGGGACAACCTTTGTACCCGTTCCTTAGGTAGGGACAACCTTTGCACCCGTTCCTTAGGTAGGGACACCCTTTGTACCCGTTCCTTAGGTAGGGAAACCTTTGTACCCGTTACTTAGGTAGGGACACCCTTTGTACCCGTTCCTTAGGTAGGGACACCCTTTGTACCCGTTACTTAGGTAGGGACAACCTTTGTTCCCGTTACTTAGGTAGGGACAACCTTTGTTCCCGTTACTTAGGTAGGGACAACCTTTGCACCCGTTCCTTAGGTAGGGACAACCTTTGGACCCGTTACTTAGGTAGGGACAACCTTTGTACCCGTTACTTAGGTAGGGACAACCTTTGTACCCGTTCCTTAGTTAGGGAAACCTTTGTACCCGTTACTTAGGTAGGGACAACCTTTGTACCCGTTACTTAGGTAGGGACAACCTTTGTACCCGTTACTTAGGTAGGGACAACCTTTGTACCCGTTCCTTAGGTAGGGACAACCTTTGTACCCGTTACTTAGGTAGGGACAACCTTTGTACCCGTTACTTAGGTAGGGACAACCTTTGTATTTTCATAGCAAGGAAAAGTTACTGCTCAGCCCTCTCCCTGGTACGATCATGACAGAAGAAATTGTCACCAATTGTTTTCCCTCTTTGTTGACTTTTTACCTAAAATAAGGGAAAATATATTTTATTTATGTCTCCGAATAAAAGGAACTTATTCAACAAAATGTCGGTACGGAAGCAAACTAAAAGTCTGTGAATCGCGTACGCAATAATAAGCTGACATCTCTTGGCTTACATACATTTTTTTCCGAACTGAGTCTCCGCCCACATTTGTCACGTGATTTTGAAGGAGCTGTATGACAGCAAAGCAGACGAGAAGTCACTTACACTTTCAGGCTAATTTCATGGGGTTTTAAGGGTGTTAAACTTGGTGTAATTTTGGAATTATGCAAAACGGGGTTTAAACACTACGTTGTGGTGAAAATAGAAGTTACTTACAGTACAGATCATCATTTTCCTAAAAAAAAAGAGAATTATTGCATGTGTGCCGGCGTCAAAACATAGCCTCCGTTATCACCCCTGACATGACCCGCGCGTGCGACCTGGAAATAAACGACCGTCGAAAACAGATGACCGTCGAACACTGAACACAGGAGGAATATTTATCACAAACCAATGTAATATGACCTATCAGCCCTGTGATTGGTTGAACGTTTCAATTGTTTCAATTGTGACGTCACGCCTAGGACAAGTACATGACGTCATAGACTTTCGCACTGGAGTCGAAATGGCGGCTTTTTACATTTCAAGGTTGCATGAAAATTGTCGTTTTACACGAATGAATGCCACAAATCTTGATTATGTGATAAAAATTATCTTACAATCGTTTTCATTTCATATGAAAGCTTTGAAACTCGTTACGAATATTTCATTTTAGCTCGTCAGAGGCTCGCTAAATTGAAAAAATCTTAGACTCGTTTCATAAATCTCATATGAAATGGAAACTCATGTAAGATCCTATATATAAAAGCAATAAATTATTGAAAGAAAATCAATATATTTAAAGATGAATAAAATAAAATCTCTATAACATTACTTTATCTTATTTTTATTCAAATACAGTGTATATAGTAAACTGTTACAAACATTAGGAAAATACTTAGATACAAACAAGCGATATTTTTTCCTAGTGATCTAGCAGATATAGGATTTTAAGTAAGTTAAAGCATTATGGAAATGCAAGTATTGTTGAAATTCCGTTAGATATTTTGTAGTTATCTTGAAGTTTGCTTGAAAATCCTTACAAGAAAGGCTATAAGCTAAGTGTTTCTCTTTTGTTGAAGGACTGATTTCAAATCAAGGACTTTCATGGTTTACCTTTTCTACCAAGTTAAGTAAATACGTTATTCTGAAAATTACCTTAGATACGTGTCTAAGCATGGAAATAATCGTCTGAAATTGATATTATAGACAAACTATGCTAGAAAAATATATAAAAAGACAGCTTAAAAAATATAGGTAATATTACGTTATACGGGAGATAACTCTCAATAAGGTGGCTCCACACTTTCGCAATTAACCAGCAAAATTCGTTGAAACTTTCATATAATGGTTATGCAACTATGTAGTGTTGATTTTATGAAAATCTAAACATTCCGATAGTTTGGGGACTTTTTTGGAAAAAATACAAAAAAAATGAATTTTCGTCAATTTTGATATTTTCCGTTTTTTTGTGTGTGGCATTGTTTGGAACAATAACAACAATAATAAAAAGAAAAGAAGCATTTCTAATTAACCCAACAAATATTTTATTTATCGCAAAATATGTAACACATGTTACACAAAGTGTTTTTTATTGAATTTGTACGGATAAAAGTGATTATCTACAAGCTAAAAGTAAACAGGACACACAGATCTATACATATAAAATGGGAAATTGAACAAAATATTCACAATGGCTTTATAATTAATTTATTTGACATTTTACAATCACTTTGATCCGGGTGAAAGTTTTCTTCCTTGAAAAAAATCGGAACTTTTTGCAGAGGGGTGACATTTACACAATGACAGTTGTCTCTGTTTACATATAACAAAAATGATGGAAATAAATCAAAAATATGATATCAAAATTATCAAATTATTGTTCTTTAATGGAACCAAATTACCCTCAGTCATGCAAACTTTGGACATCATTCCACAGTCCGCTAACTCACGGTATATTTATAATTACATGTCAGGTACATATATGACCAGAGGCTATCGAATGGTATGCCGTTCTCACGTGCACTCACACATGCATTTCATAGGTATCTTGATATTTTACAAAACATTATTTTCACAGAGTAAGTAGACTACATTTGTAAACACGATTTAATCGACAGAGCGAAACTCCCTCAACAGCGAAAATCGTAACGACCTCGAGCTTATGAAGTCGTGTAAGCACTTGATATGCACATGTGAGGTCGGTACGTCCGCATTCTATGCGTTTCCTATAGTTATGACCTTCTTGAGGTCGTCTGGTCTCATGTCACTATCTTCCCGTGAGTCTGTTTATGTCTATGAATTGGAAAGCTTTATTCCTAAAGTACGTGTGATTATACATTTCCCGGTAAAATCTCGATATCGGGTGTTGACATATCATCGGCACGCACGTGTACTATTGTTTACCAGGAACAACCGGTTTGACCGTTTATAAATGTAACAATTTCGGGTATAAATCCTGGCGGACCTGCAAATGTCAAGGTTCGCCTGAAAGCAGCATCAGATTACTAGGTTCGACCTTATTTAATAAACGAACAACAGTGGTCCGATCGGTCTAACCGTTTAAACGAAAACGGCCCAGGTGTTACTATAATGTGCACTACAATATTGAATGCTCGATACGCAATACGG